CTGAACTAGAACTAAACTAGAACTAAAAAAGAACTAAACTAGAGATGAACTAGAACTGAATGAATTATAACTGAACTATAATTGAAGTAAAGCTGAACTATAACTGAATTATAACTGAACTATAATTGAAGTAAAGCTGAACTAGAACTCAACTAGAACAGAAGTAGGATTGAACTAAAACTGAACTAGAACTGAACTGGAACCCAAATAGAATTGAACTAGAACTCAAGTAGAACTGAATTAGAACTGAACTAGAACTGAACATGAACTAAACTAGAACTAAACTAGTACTGAACCAGATCTGAACTAGAACTGATCTTGAATAAGAACCGAACTAGAACTGTACTAGAACTGAAATATTAAATAGAATTAAAATAGAACTAAAAATAAAGTAGAAGTAATCTAAATCTAATCTAGTTTCGAATATAATTACAATTTTCTGAAATATAACTAGAAATTTTAGAAATTTAAGTGGAAAGTTCTGAAATACAATTGGAAATGGAAAAAATGTCAATAAAAATTAAATAGAAACGGAGTTTGTTCATATTTTCTATTTAAGCAGCCATTTGGATGACTTTCATTAATAATTAATGTGTAAAATATTTCTTAATTTTAAAGGTTTTGCCGAAGCTTTTTTCCTTAATGCTAATTTGATATTAAGTACTTTTTTCAAAAAACTTACCTTCCCAATATCTCCTTGGGTTCATATTTAGCATAGAACCCTTTGGCGGCATCCTTATCGGGTAATAAATCATCTTCTTCATCCTTAGCCATTTGTGCTGGTGGTATTTTGATTTTGGCGTTTAAAATTTACACGAAATATGAAAAAATTAACACACTCCTACACTTCACACCAAAAGCCCACAATACGAAATGTTTGGCTAACACTGTAGGTTAATGTTTGTCAAAACAAACATAAACAAAGAGCTACAACAAAGACCACCAAAAAGCCGAATAGTTGTTTATGTAGTATATAAAAAAGATGACGTCAAAAAGTAATGTGTTTTCCTCTTGTAAAAATTTGGTTGGCTGTTGTTGTTATTAAAACTGCTACAGTTGTTGTTTATAATACAAGGGGAGCATAAAATAAACAACAAGTTTTATAAAATGATGGAAATTTTTATGTTTGTTCTTGTTTTTGTAACAACTGGAGTGGGTTGTTGGCTTGTTTATGTTTTAGTTTTTTTTTTCTTCTTGTTATTGTTACTAAGTGGAAGTGCGTATGTGTGTCCCGTTATAAGGTTGAATGATGTAAAAAGTCGCGTGTGGATTCGCACGTTCGTCAAAAAGTTTTGTTTGGTTGTTTTATGTTTCTGTTACACGATATTTTTTATGCTGATAATACGAATTAGATCATTTTTGTTTTAATAAAGTTATTTATTTTTCTTAAATTGATTTTTTTTTTGTAAAAATTTCGCATGTAAATTGATTACACAACAATTGTTTAAATACAAATCAGATTTTTCGTGTTAAATATTTTAGTTTACACATTATTTTTTAAATTTACAAAATTGTTTTATTCTTGTGAAATTTTATGTTTTAATAATTTTAATTTGTTTTTTCTTTTTATTATAAAATTTTAGTTGTTTTTGTGAAAATCTTTAAATTTTCTTTAATATTCCGTATTTTTAGCGAATGTGCCACTTTTTTTCTTGTCTGTCTTGATTTGCTTCTTCTTCTTTGTTTAATTTTTGTGTCTGCTCTTCTTTGTTCAATGTCAAAAAAGGTTATAAATTTTTCATCTTCACCAAAGCCTCTTGTTGATTTGTGGGTCGATTTCTGATATTTTGTGTTTTAATTTTATTTGTTATATATTTTATTAACATATTTTTCTTCTAATCACTTCGAAATATATTAAATTTTCTTTCTTTTTTTCGTTTTATTTTTTTCTTATTTCTTTCACCGTTCACTTAAACAATTTTCCCGTTTTTGTTTTGCACCAAACGAAACAAGATTCACAAATGACCACAAAAATTTTTTAGCAGCCGTATGAAAGAGAAAAAAACGAAGTGCTCAGTTTTACAACAACAACACTGTATATAAATCTCAAAAACAGCTGTTGATAGAAAACAACCGAAAAATTGCATTAAATTTAGAGTTACCATATGGTATGGCTGGTTTTTTGTCAGAATTATAGCGATTTTTATCATATATTTTCATAATCTGGTAAGAATTCAATTTGTCTTTCTTTGTTTACTGTTATTCTTACAGGGTTGTATTTAACTTTGTAGGGCAATGCTTTTAAAAAAGGTATTGCCAGCAACTAAGAAAAACATAGAACGACTGTTATATTTAAAATTCTGTTTAATTGATGTTTTTTTGTATAATTAGGGAAATTTCTGCGTTTTGATGTTTCTAAAGTAAAATTCTTTTAAAAAATGGTTATAACTCCCGTTAAAACTATTTTTTTTGTTATTTGTTTGTATAAAAAAGCGCATATATTTAATATATATAATTTGTTTGTTTTTTTCTTTAAGTAACTAATAAATTTTTAATTGTTTTTGTTGTAATTTTTCAAAGAATTTTTCTTAATTTGTTTTCTTTTATAAACTACTTTAAATATGTCATATATTTGTTAATTTTAATATAATATTTATAATATTGTAGAAAAAGTTGTTTGTTATTAAATATTTATATGTTTTAAATATATATAGAGACTTTAAAGCGATAATAGGCTAAACAAATTAGTAAATTATAAACTGCAAAGGAAAGTTTTTAAGGGAAACTTAAAGAAAAAATTGCAAATTAAGAAAAAAATCAAGAGAGTTAATAAAACATAAGATATTTTTAAGCAATTTATGTTGATTAGCAGTAAAAATAAATGTTAGGATTAATTTTGTTTACTGTTTTAGTGTTTAAAAATTGTGGGAAAATTGCGGGCTTTTTGGCAACATTTTGGGAAGTTAAAATTTTGGTTTAAAATCATTAAAAATTAATTATAATTACTTTATTTTAAAATATTTTTGAAATTTAGCAAATCCCACAATTTTTATAGTGAGGGAATTTTTTCCAACATTTTGGGAATTAAAAATATTGTTTTAAAATCAATAAAAATTAAGCAAATTTGTATTATAAAACAAAATTTTAAGAATTTCGTAAATTCCAAACTGAGTTTTGCTAAAATCCCAGAATTTTATATTGAGGAAATTTTTACCAACATTTTGGGAATTCAAATTTTTAATGTTAAATCATTAAAAATTTAATTAAATTATTTTATTTATAAAAATTTTTTAAATTTAGCAAATCCCAGAATATTTATATAAAGGTAATTTTTCCCCACATTTTGGAAATTCAAAATTTTGTTATATTAATCAATAAAAATTAAGCAAATTTATTTTATAAAACAAAATTTTAAGAATTTAGTAAATTCCGAACTGAGTTTTGCTAAAATCCCAGAATTTTATTTAGGAATTTTTGCCCACATTTTGGGAATCTAAAATTTTTATGCAAAATCATTAAAAATGAAGTAAAATAACTTTATTTTAAAATATTTTTTAAATTTGGCAAATCCCAGATTTTTTATAACAAGGTAATTTTTCCCCACATTTTGGGAATTCAAAATTTTGTTTTAAAATCAATAAAAATTAAGTAAAATTACATTATAAAGCAAAATTTGAGAAATTTTTAAATTCCAAACCGAATATTGTTAAAATCCCAAAATTTTATAATGAGCAAATTTTTGCCCACATTTTGGGAATTTAAAATTTTTATGTAAAATCATTATAAATTTAGTAAAATTACTTTATTTTAAAATATTTTTAAAATTTGACAAATCCCCGACTTTTTATAATAAGGGGAATTTTTGCCCACATTTTGGGAATTTATAATTTTGTTAAAATCCCAAAATTTTATAATGAGCAAATTTTTGCCCACATCTTGGGAATTTAAAATTTTTATGTAAAATCATTATAAATTTAGTAAAATTACTTTATTTTAAAATATTTTTAAAATTTGACAAATCCCAGACTTTTTATAATAAGGGTAATTTTTGCCCACATTTTGGGAATTCAAAATGTTTGTTTTTATACATAAAAATGTAGTAAAATTACATTACAAAGCAAAAATTCGAGAAAATTTTCAAATTCCCAACCGAGTTTTACTAAAATCCCAGAATTTTTTATTGAGGAAATTTTTTCCCCTTATTTTGGGAATTCATAATTTTGGTTTAAAATCATTAAAAATAAAGTAAAATTGCGTTATTTGTAAAAATTTTTGAAATTTGCCAAATCCCAGAAATTTTATAATGAGGGAATTTTTGCCTACATGTTGGGAATTTAAAATTTTTGTTTTTTCAACATTAAAACTTAAGCAAATTAGAGATATTTGTTAAAATTTTGTGAAATTTGCCAAATCCCAGGATTTTTATAATGTGGGAGTTTTGCAAAACATTTTGGGAATTTGAAATTTTTGTATTAACTTAAAACAATGATGCCAACTGTGTGTTTTTTTTTTCGCTGTTAAGCTGATATTAGGTGTTTTTTATGATTTTTTAGTGTTCTTTTATAATTTATCCTTAAATAATGTGGATTTTTTTTATAATTATTAATTATATGTTTAATTTAATAGGAATTAGGTGTTATAGGACGTAATTGGAATAGTTGATTTTTTAATAAATTTGAAATTTATGGTTTATATAGTAGTAAATAACAAGTGTTTAACAAAGTTTGTTGGTAAATTTCTTGAGGATTTTTAAGATTTTTGTTTTTACAATAAAACCTTAAATATGCTTGAAAAATATGTAAGGTTGTGGTTGTTGTATGTCATATGTAGTGAGTGAGTGGAACAGAAAATGAGTTGAAAAATAATTTTAATTTTTTTTTTATAAAATATATTTAAAAATTTTACAAAAATATTTATAAAAAGAGATTTTTTTTTGTTTAGAGGCCGAATGTTATTTAAAAATTAAACTTAAATTAGGATTTGAAAAATAATTTCTTTTACTCAAAATTTCCCGGTTTAATAAAAAACCTTAAGTTTAAGTAAAAAATGGGGAAAATTACAAAAAAAAAACTTATTGATGTTGAAAAAAACATCAAAACTTTTTTTAAAATTATAAAAAATCGGCACCATTTTTCTTCGTGACTTAAAACTAATACAAAAAAAGGTGCTTGTCTATATATAAAGTGTGTCGTCAAACTATAAACTCTATTGCTGCGCTTGCATTTTGGCCTGCATATGGGCCAACATTTCTTGCATGCGCCTTAGCTCGGCCTCTTTTTCCTGTAATATTCGATCCTTTTCATTCAAAACATTGTTCACCACTATTTGGGTGGGTACTAGGGAATCACGTTCGGGTTTAATGCCATTCTCCTTGCTCTTAATGCCCTTGGCCAAACGATCCGAACGATAGTTTTCATAGTGCACTTCCTGGGTAACCTCCTGCAGGTCTTGCATATGGGTTCTAAAATAAAAAGGTTCTTAAATAAAAAAACAAATCCTTTTAAATTTTCTCTTACTCACATTAACATGGTTCTCAATTTGATAAAATCACAATGTTCTGGATTTTCCACTTCCACCACACCCCAAGGATATAAACGTCCTCGCACTTTTTTGCCCTTAACCTCGAGTAAAGTATTGGCACCACATACCGCAAAAGGCACAGCGGCTTTGAGCTGTTTAACCTGCTCTTTATAGTCTTCATCTTCATCGGAATCACAATCAGGCAGTGGATAGATTTTAATGCCATGATCTTCTATTTCCTGCATAATGCGGCATTTTAAACGTAAAATTTCCTTTTTAGTCAAACAATCGGCCTTAGCAATGACGGGCACTATATTGACTTTAGAGTGTAATTTTTTCATAAATTCCACATCCAAGGGTTTTAAACTGTTGAAACAAATAAAAAAATATTATTAAAAATTTCCCCCACATTTTGGGAATTTAAAATTTTGAGTTAAAAATCATTAGGACATAAAGAAAACTACCTTATTTGTAAATATTTTTGGAAAATTTGTAAAATCCCAGCATTTTACTTGAGGGAAATTTTTCCCTCTTTTTGGGAATTCAAAATTTTGTTTTGAAATCACCAGAAATCAAGTAAACCTACTTTCTATAAACAAATGTTTGGAATTTAGCAAATCCCAGAACAGAATTTGATAAGGAAATTTTTGCCCACTTTTTTGGGAATTTGAAATTTGGGTTTAAAATCACCAGAAATCAATTGAAATGACTTTCTATATACAATTTTTTAAAATTCAGCAAATCCCAGAATTTTAAAATTAAGGTAATTTTTTAAAACTTTTTTGGAATTCAAATTTTTTGGTTTAAAATCACTAAAATTGTTTCAAAACTGCGTTATTTCTCAATATTTGTAAAAGATTTTCTAAAATCCCACAATTTTAAAAAGAGGGAATTTTTGCAAACTCTTTGGGAATTTAAAATTTATGTTTAAAATCAATAAAAATTAAGTAAAATTATTTTGTTTATGAAAATGATAGAATTTTAGCAAATCCCAGAATATTAAAATGAGGGAATTTATGGTAACTATTTTAGGAATTCAAAAATGTGGGTTTCAAATCACTAAAATAGTTTCAAAACTGTTTTATTTCTCAATATTTGTAAAAAATTTGCTAAAATACCACAAATTAAGTTGAGGGAATTTTTGCCCACTTTTTGGGAATTTAAAATTTTGGTTTAAAATCAACAGAAATTAAGCACAATTACTTGCATTATAAAAATTTTTGAATTTTGAGAAATCCCAGAATTTTAACATGAAGGAATTTTTGACAATTTTTCAGGAATTAAAAATTTTAGGTTTAAATCACTCAAATTTAACTCAAACTATATTAATTGTAAATATTTTAGAAAAAAATTTTAAAATCCCTAAATTTTATTTGAGGGAATTTTTGTCCACTTTTTGGGAATTAACAATTTTGGTTTAAAATCTCTTTTTTTATGAAAATTTAAATCTTTAAAAATTTTTTAAACCGCTATTTTTGTTAATATTTATAAAAATTTTGCTAAAATCCCACAATTTTACTTGAGGAGATTTTTGTCAACTTTTTAGGAATTTAAAATTTTGGTTTTAAATTCCTAAAAATTAAATAAAATTATTTTCTATATAAAAATTTTTATAATTTAGCAAATCCCAGAACTTTAATTGAGAAAAATTTTCCCAAAATTTGGAAATTTCTAAAATTTTGTTTTAAATCTCTATATTTTCTCTTACCCATGACCAAAAGGTGATATAAAATAAAAACAACAGTGTATACGATTGTCCACAATATTGCGTCGATTCAGACCGCTTTCATCGCGCAAAAAACGTTCATACTGTTCATCTATATACTCCAATATGGCACTAAAACTATCACCATTATCGATGGCATCACCAAAACCGGGTGTATCCACCACCGTCAAACGCAGTTTTACGCCTCTCTCTTCGATTTCTACTGTGGAAGCTTCCAATTTGACAGTTTGTTTTTGTTTTTCTATGGCATCGGGTATAATACGTTCCGGATACAGATCTGTTAGGAATAAACTATTCACTAAAGTTGATTTACCCAAACCCGATTCACCCACTACCATTAAGGTGAATTCGAAACCTTTTTTCACTGATTTACGATGCACCTGATTGGGTAGATTGGCAAAGCCCACATAGCCGGGGGTTTCAATGCTGGAAAACTAAAATAAATAGAGAGAAAAAAAAAATAAAAATCTTTAACAAACAATTAATCAAGTAATTTTCTTAATTTATTTTTCAAAACAGCAGACGGGAAATGCAGGTGTTGCTACGTCGCCGTCACACCCCTTTTCATTTCTAGCTCCCTTTTGACTGAAACGTGATAACACTTCTAATGTATAACATATTGAAAAGAAAACACACACATGCTCCCGTGTGGTTTGGTTGACTTTTGTGGCCAGAGCGCACCACAGGTACACCAACCTTCTCACTCACCTAAATCCACCTCTTTACAACTGTTAGTATTTAAAGGTGTTGGGTTTTATTAAGAAAAGGAAAAAAATGAAAAAGAACTGAAGTAAAACAATAAAAAAATAAATAAACAACGTTTCTTTTTCAACCATCAGAAAGACAGACAAATTAATGCAATTTTTTCCCCAGTTTTTTTTTTTGAAAAAGAAACGTGTGCTGTTTGTGTTAAACAAATAAGAAAACGTTATAATGGAGGGTTTTAATGGTGCAATAACACACAGAACCCATCCAGCTATATGCCACAACAGTAAAGGAGAAAATTATAAATACTCATTCATAATTATCAAAGAAAATTTGGTAGTAGGAACTTCAAGGCCTTTTACATTATAGGTAGCATTTACCCTGCAACAGTCTGGGGTGAAACCTTCCAAATCCTTAGTACTGGAAAATCGCTGCTTGCCGTTTTCTCTTCGTTATCCTGAACCAATTCTTATCTTCGATCCATCAGTGAGTAAAGTAAAACTTCTGTAATTGATGGACTTGGCATTATAGTCTTTGCCATCTGAAAAAGTTCTTATAATACTTGTTTCAACTTTTCAAAAACCTAAATCGGCCTGTATTCATCTTCGACCTAATCGGTATCTCTATTGGGGATGCTCTTTGAATGTAGTTTCTCAATTTTCCTAATGATGAAATTATTATAATTCAGCAAGACCTTTATAAGAAGCGTTTTAAAAGGCTTCAGTTTAGATGATCATAAATTTATAATCTGTTTCAGTGTCACAGTCAGAGGAGCTGTTCGAGCTAAACGCATGGGGTTTCATAGAAGACACCGGTCAAAGTTCAAAGTAGAGAATAGTTTGACATAACAGTTGGCCGTTGATAACAATGAAGACCTTCGATTCTGCTAAGGCATGGATACTATGTGACTTTAGGGAGTTCTAACGAAAATTTGGTTTGTCGGATTTCATGGTTACGGATATGATTTTATTAGACTACAGCTAACAAAGTTTCTGGGAGTTTAAAAAGTCGGAAATTAGGTTACCAACGTTATAGAAACAGATGAAACCACGAGTTTCGTCAAATTATACCATTTGATGAAAACATTTAGAAATTTGGGGGGGGCCAAGAGAGGGGGGAGGGGCAAAGGGGAGCGAGCAGCGAGCGAGCGAGCGAGCGAGCGAGCGAGAGCGAGCGAGCGAGCGAGCGAGCGAGCGAGCGAGCGGGCGAGCGAGCGAGCGAGCGAGCGAGCGAGCGAGCGAGCGAGCGAGCGAGCGAGCGAGCGAGCGAGCGAGCGAGCGAGCGAGCGAGCGAGCGAGGCGAGCGAGCGAGCGAGCGAGCAGCGAGCGAGCGAGCGAGGAGCGAGCGAGCGAGCGAGCGAGCGAGCGAGCGAGCGAGCGAGCGAGCGAGCGAGCGAGCGAGCGAGCGAGAGCGAGCGAGCGAGCGAGCGAGCGAGCGAGCGAGCGAGCGAGCGAGCGAGCGAGCGAGCGAGCGAGCGAGCGAGCGAGCGAGCGAGCGAGGAGCGAGCGAGCGAGCGAGCGAGCGAGCGAGCGAGCGAGCGAGCGAGCGAGCGAGCGAGCGAGCGAGCGAGCGAGCGAGCGAGCGAGCGAGCGAGCGAGCGAGCGAGCGAGCGAGCGAGCGAGCGAGCGAGCGAGCGAGCGAGCGAGCGAGCGAGCGAGCGAGCGAGCGAGCGAGCGAGCGAGCGAGCGAGCGAGCGAGCGAGCGAGCGAGCGAGCGAGCGAGCTAGCGAGCGAGCGAGCGAGCGAGCGAGCGAGCGAGCGAGCGAAGCGAGCGAGCGAGCGAGCGAGCGAGCGAGCGAGAGCGAGCGAGCGAGCGAGCGAGCGAGCGAGCGAGCGAGCGAGCGAGCGAGCGAGCGAGCGAGCGAGCGAGCGAGCGAGCTAGCGAGCGAGCGAGCGAGCGAGCGAGCGAGCGAGCGAGCGAGCGAGCGAGAGCGAGCGAGCGAGCGAGCGAGCGAGGAGCGAGCGAGCGAGCGAGCGAGCGAGCGGAGCGAGCGAGCGAGCGAGGAGCGAGCGAGCGAGCGAGCGAGCGAGCGAGCGAGGAGCGAGCGAGCGAGCAGCGAGCGAGGGAGCGAGCGAGCGAGCGAGCGAGCGAGCGAGCGAGCGAGCGAGCGAGGCGAGCGAGCGCGAGCGAGCGAGCGAGCGAGCGAGCGAGCGAGCGAGCGAGCAGCGAGCGAGCAGCGAGCGAGCGAGCGAGCGAGCGAGCGAGCGAGCGAGCGAGAGAGCGCGAGCGAGGAGCAGCGAGCGAGCGAGCGAGCGAGCGAGCGAGAGAGCTAGCGAGCGAGAGCGATCGAGCGAGCGATCTAGAGAGCGAGCGATCGAGCTATCGATGCTATCGATCGAGCTAGCTATCTATCTATCGATCTAGCTATCTATCTATCTAGCTATCTATCTATCTATCTATCTATCTATCTATCTATCTATCTATCTATCTATCTATATCTATCTATCTATCTATCTATATTAGAGCCCTGCATGAGTAACTCTATTTGCTACACACAATGAGTGACTCATTGCTTTGCACTCAACTCATTGTTTGTTTAGAATAGTATTTACAAAGTTTTGTTATACTCAAACGTTGTGAGTACTATCAAGTGAATGTGCAACTACATTCAAATCGAGCGAGTAAACAATTTGTTTATGTTAAAACAATACAAAATAGATTGTTTGAATCGAATGAATCGATTCAAACTTTTTCTTGAATAAATGGTGAAAATTTTGAATGCTGTTAAAACTAGTTCCTGTGCCCCGAATTCGCTGAAATTTGGTAGTCTTGAGTACAATTGATGACAAGATAATATTATGTTCGAATATTCGAAATTAAGTTCGAAAATTCGAAGTTATGTTCGAAAAATTTTTTATGCTTTTAAATTATTCTTTGAGTCCAAAAAACTAAAAAAAAAATTTTCGAAAATTCGAACTCATGTTCGAAAAAAATTTAAAGCTGATAAAACCAGTTTCCGTGGACCAAATTGGCTGAAATTTGGCAGTGTTAAGTACAGTTGATGACGCTACTATATTATCTTCGACTATTCGAAATTAAGTTCGAAAATTCGAAGTAATATTCAAAAAATCTGTTAATTTGTCGAACTTAAAAATTGTTTTGCTTTCACTCGATTCACTCACTGTATACTACTTGAATTGAATCACACAAACACT